TTCGGTGACCATAATTTTATTTTATTCCCATTGTTTTTTTCTTTATTGCTTCAATTATTCTTTCTTTTGAAAATTCTGCTGCTTTTAAGCGCTTTTCTTTCAAAGAAAGTTTTGTCAATTTAGAATTTAATATTTTGTATTTTTTTACTAATGATGTGATGAGTTTTTTTTGAGCGACGATGCTGTTCTGTGGTTATCTAAATAAAAAATATGTATAATGAACAGAATTTGCACTTTTTGAAAATTTGAATGGCTATATCTACTAAAAGCATATATATCCCAGGAAATAGTTGGGTTACAGAGCTTGTACTCATAGAGAACTTTAAAGTAAAGAAATTATTGGAGTGCTGTTATTTAATTAAGATTTTCGAGGCAGAAAAAGTCAATAACTAAATTTTCCATTAACTTTGACAGAGCATTATTCTGAAATGCAACAATGCTCTATGGTGAAAACGAGTGCATGTTCATAACTAGGCAGCCATATACTAGTAATATAGCAAAACAAAACTTTAAGGCGTTGTTGCTTTCTTTAGATAAACCCCTTTATTAAACTTACTTATATTTCACTTTTAAAGAAATAACTCTTAAATTTTCTACAGGAGAGAGAAAAATTTTTAGGAGCTCAAACTAGTACAATATTCATTTTTCATAACCAATTTCAATAATAAAAAAGATCAAGCTACACTATCACACATTGTCTGAAGTTTAAAATAAGTAACTCTATAAATCTAAGTGATTGTAAGTACTTGATAATAAAAACGTAGTGCTAGCTAACTACCACATTTTTGATAAAGATGCTATTTAAATTATTACAAAATATTTGTAGCTACGCAATGTGTTGGCAGGAAGAATATGTAGAAAATCATTATGTATTTATTGTATTTCATATTATGTATTGAATATAATTATGCATCACAATGTGTTTCAAAGAATATGTAGTACATATCAAAATTTCTCCTGAAATCTCGAAGAATTTCTCGAGAAGTGTAGTGAGAGTATGGGAAGTTATGTTTTATGGGAAGTGTAGTGTGCGAAGTGTAGTGAGTGTATGTAAATTAAAAAGTATTACGAATACCTTCGAAACGCTTTGTTGCAGAATGATTCAGTGGCGAATGGGTGCATTAAATAAGGAAACCATATTTAATAACAAACAAATTTAATAAACAATAAAACGATATGATACGAAATGGGGCTCGCCACTGAGCCATCCAGGTCAATCCATTGCCTGCAACATAAAGTGATTACAGAATTATTGTGAGTGATTACAACGCCCTCTTCTTTTCAGGCAGAAATTCGTAACACGCTTCATATCTTAACATACCACAATATTTTAATATCTGTAACTGTATTTGCAGTAGGATTTTTCCGTCGCCGGAAAATTATCAAATCATGTTTTATCTTTATTTTTAATTTAAGTCTACCATCAATATTTCTAGTGTTATGTAAAAACGCCAATTCGTCAAATTGAATTTTTTCATTGTTTTATTATTTCACAAGCAGACGGCTTGATTTTTTTATGGCTACCACAAAGCATTAAAGCATGCTAGATGGCGCCACTAAGGCTTAGCAAAATTTATGTAGAATCTTCATGATTTTGAATCCCGATTTTCTGTATATATGCTATCATCAATTTTTAATGCTCAATTCCAAATTTCTGCTGTAAATAATGTAAATATCACAGATTAAGCTCGTATTTCATGTATATCTCTAATCATGGCTGTATTCATTTTTCAATGGCAATTAATGTAAATTTCCGATAAAGTTTGTACATACTTCTAATCATGGTTATTTTATTATATTGTTACCACATTGTTACATAATTCAAAATGTTTTATTCACTGTATATAATTTTCATGATGAATGGGGTAGGGGACGCTGCGTGGCCTAGGCACCCAATTTCGTTTAAATAAAGAAAGAAAGTCGCCGAAAAATTTCACTTCTATTTAGACTGTGGAATCAAATATTTTTCTAATCAAATACTTTTTATAATTTTCCTTGCAAATATTTTTTTCATGATTTAAATAATGTAATTTAAAATGAAATTGAACACCATTATCTCTAACGTATTAGAACGCTAATATAAAATACCCTTAGGTGCATATGGTTTTGTGTTCTCAAAAAAGTTACAATTTTTTTTACTCGTTTTAGGTTGCTGTGCTCTGGAATTATTAAGGGTATGGGTGGTTTTCATTTCATAAACACTAGGTTTACGGGACACGTCATTTTGACGGATTTCGGCCTTTGTAAGGAAAATTATAAAACCCGTTTGAATTTTTATTTTATCTCTTGTAATGACTTTTAACCATTGATAGAAGTAAATATATATTAAATGCTATTTACCTCAAAAGCGTTGAAATATTGAAATTCTCTATGTAGTATACCTATTTCTACGGATATGCGTCAATTTGACGCGATCATAATTTAGACAAAAGTTTAAGTAAACAAGCAATTATCACATCAATAATAAATAGGAATGTACCGACAAAACTTCGATTCGTTATCTCAAATAAAACAAGTGCATACCTGCCAACTCTTCCGGATTTTCCCGAAGATTTTATTTTCATATTTAAAGTGGTAGTAAATATATACTATTTTTTATTTTACAAACTTAATATTTAAATGATTTTGATCACCACTATTCTTATAAAAATTAAGCACATATATTAATATGCGTTACTATCATGGTTGTCAACTTAAGCTTTCTCAATTGCAACGTATTTGCTTGCTTAAAATTGAAGTATTAATTTCATTTTAATACCACTGGGAAAAATGATAATGGAAGGGATTAAAAGCTGGCAAGTATGCAAGTGATAAACAACTGTTGCCGATAAGCAATAATAGAAAGAACAAACGCAGAATGTCAATTGATGTCAGATTTTGAAGGTTTCAGTTGCTTAGTTCGAGTATTGAAACATAAAATACTAGAATATTTCATAAATATATATCTCATATCTTCATTTTTTACTTATAGTATACATATACATTGGTTTCTAAGTGCAGAGATGCCAACTGCTCCGGACACGCAAAAATAATTAAAAAAATGGTGAATCACAACAAAGTAAATTTTGAAATATGAAGTGGTGAATTATATAGGCCTACGAATTATTTAGAAATAGTGGTGGATAAAAATCTACGAAACTGAATTTATTAAATTAAGAATCACAATTCTTTCATACGTCAAATTGACGTGTGTCCGCAGAGATAGGTATATAAGAAACGTCCGTAAACCTAGTGTTAAGAAAACATCAATGAGAAACTTTTTATCATCTCTCTATAACTTATCAAAATTTAACTTTAAGATTCAGATTATTTTACAGGAGTTTAACATAAGCACAAATATTAATTAAATGCAAAAACATTTTTGAAACGATGCAAAGAACTCTTAGAATTAAATTTTCTTTAGAATTTAAATTTGGGAAAAAAAAGATACATACTTTATTTTCTTGCTCGCACGATAAAATTCATAAAAATCAAGTAAAAAACTTCAACTTTAAACGGGCAGTCAAATATGTTCTTAAAACTGTACAAACTAAAAGAAATTGAAAAATGAAAAAGTTTTTTTATTCTTAAACAAAAAGTTCAATTTTTAGGATTTTTAATTTGTTTTAATTTAAAAATACAAAATATTTATCAATATTCAAATAATAGTATGAGATTAAGCAACATGCTATACTCAAACCAAATACCAAGCTATAACTTAATATGTTTATAAGAAGCCAAGAAATTTTACGCACAAGTTGAAGGAATTTGAAATGAGAAAAACAGATAGATAAATAGAAAACACTAGCACCACTTTGTAAAAAATAATTTTTTCTAGTGGTAGCGAAACTGAAGCTTGCTTTAGTTTGATGTTTAATTATCATTTTAAGTAATTTTTCCACACTATATATCAAAAATTCAAAGCATGTTAAGAAGTACAGCATTGCTGCATTTTATACTTGATGACACATTCTAAGACTGCAGAGATGCCAACTGCTCCGGACACGTCAAAATAACTAAAATTAATGGTAAATAACTACACAGTAAATTTTTCAAATATTTGACTGTTGCTTGCTTCTTAAAAAGACATAGCATGACATAAGTACTAAAAAGTGGTGAATTATATAAGCCTACGAATTCTTTAGAAATAGTGGTGGATAAAAATCTACTTAATTGAATTTATTAAATCAATTGTTCTACTTAATTGATCTACTTTATTGAATTTATTGAATCACAATTGATAAACTACCACTTTAAAATATATATTTGCTGTCCGGAGCAAGTTGGCATCTCTGTAAGAGTTAGTGTAATTATTTCAAGTTTACCTCGCTACCAATTTCTTAAAACAGGGGTCCCGCGGACCTTGAAAAGTTTCAGTAGTGGTAGTAAATTTAGGTTAATGCTAGAAGATTTTTCTTATTTTAATGTACCATTTAGTTGTTAAGTGGATTAGAAGCTAGAATTTTCTTGCATACTTTCTTTGGAAAGCAATTTTAGGGGCAGTTACACAGAAATTAAATTACGGAATTTCGTTTAATTTTTGTTACCACTTCTTCAAATTTACAAGACCAGCGGGAACCCTGTAAAACCTTTGCAGAAAGTGGAGCAGTTGGCATCTCTGCTACCTTAAACTTGTTGTCAAATTACTAGGAACAAAATAGATCGGGAAAAATATTTTAAATTTTGTTAGTAGAAAAACTATCTAGATATCTTAAAGCGGTATCAAACAAGGAAATATAGATGTTTTTAATTACTTCTATCAATTGAAAAATTTCCATTTTTTAGCAAATTTATTAGGGTGCTAATAATAACGTAATTATTCTTATTTTCAAGTGGAAGCAAAATTTAAACATCTTATAGTAACCTCGATAAAATGCAGCTACCACTTATTGATTTTGTTCAATTCTTAGCAACCTTGCTAAGAATTGAACTATTCAATGCTACCACTTGGAAAAACATTCCTGGGAGAGTGCAGATTTTGGCAGTTATGTTATCTTAAAATAAAATGCGTTTGTGCTTACCTCGTCGTAACCTCTATTTCAGTAACTGAATAGAGTTCAGCTACAGAACTTCACATATCAAGAGATTTCGTAGTACGGTCTACAGTGAAGCAGGTTTCCGTAGCTGAGTGCCACAGATTTATAAATGAATTGCTCTTTAAGGAAATTGCCTTTTTAAAGAACTGTATTCTTTCTTTCCCAATATGGACATTCAAAAGCTCTTGAATTTCCTCCGGAGTAAGCATGTCATACTCTTCTACAAATCTACACAAGATTTTGTGCAGCTTAGAGTTGCTACCATTTGCCATTGCTCTTTTTATACTTGAATATACATCATAAAAATCAATTTTCTCTTCAGGTAAGACAGTGGGTCTACTATTCAAAAAACGCTGGAGATTTTCAGTAATCCTCAAACCTTCAACTGTGGAATCATCTTCAAAATTAGTTTGGTTTGCTGTATTAATATATTTTTCACCTGTAAACTTTCTTACAAATACGTTTAACAAAAGCAAAGTCCCAATTACGTCAAAATCCTGAAGTGAATTAAAGTTCGAAATTCTGTGAAAGGTTTTATCTCTTTTATTATCCCCTTGAAGAAATGAGTTATGGTCATTTTCTTCAATGAAGTTTGAAGGCCCGGTATTAAAATTAGTATTATTTAAAACGCTCGCTGCTAAATTTCGTGGGGAGCGATTCATTTTTGATTTCAAGTAATTACCTATTACAAACGATTTCAAACCGAGAGCTATGTCAAAAGGAGTTTCATTCTTATTATTTTTTGCATTCATATCGGCGCCTTTCTCAACGAGATACTTAACAACATCGAAATATTCATGTTGGACTGCCATGTGTAAGGGTGTATTACGTAACTTATTAGCTGTTGGTTCGTTCACTGAAACACCCAAGTCTTCTATAAAATAATCCGCGGTAACCAAATCCCTCAAGAATATGGCATGATGTATAGGTAGTTGGCCTCCTTCGTCTCTATGATTTATATCAGCTCCCTTCATTACTAACAACTTAATAATTTCTACTCTAGTTTCACTGTCCACTTCAGCTTGGGTAGCTCGATTCAAAAATCCTGAAGATCCGCATTCACCTTTGGCACTGGCATCTTTTTCTATCATATATTTTACGATATGCAAATGTCCGGACTGCGCAGCAGAGCAAAGTGGTGGGTAAGCGGTGGGCGATTCCTTCTCAATATTAGCATTTCTTTCTTGAATGAAATATTTAACTATGTCTAAGTGCCCATAAAGAGCTGCTTCGTTTAACAGCACGCAATCTTTTGGATTTATTTTATCAAAAAAATATTTGATCATTTCCAGTTGATCGAACTGATTTGCATCGCAAAAAACCCATGGACATGACTTGGGACAACGAGGTGGAATATGTGTTTTAACTAGCGCGTCGTATATGTACCTTTCTCTCTCAAAGCCATATTTAACTACATCAATATGTCCATTTTGAATGGCATAATACATGAAATCATTAGTCCGTGAGTCAGTCACATAAAGGCCCCCACCATTACTGATCAGGTACTCAATCATGTGTAACTGTCCTCCTTTAGCATACATATGTATCGGTGTTTCTCCATCACTGTTACTGACATCAACGTTTGCACCCTTGTTTCTTAAAAATTTAACAACTGCTGAATGCATATTTTGAGACGCCATGTGTAGAGGAGTCTCTCCGCGGTGGTTTTTCAGTTCCAGTAAACTTTTGTCACGTTTCAGTAAGAGATCTACTACAGAAACTGCTCCATTTAAAGCTGCCTTGTGGATAGGCGTGTTACCCATGTCATCTCTAGCATGTAAATCAGCATTTTTATCAAGAAGTACCAGAACATTTTCGATTCTTCCACGAAATGCAGCTTCATGCAGTGGCGTTGAGTTTTTAAATGTTTTAGCATTGATGTCAGCTTTATTCTGTATTAGAATATTTAGCATGTCCGGTGTTTCTCTCATTGCGGCTAAGTGAAGGGATGAGTAACCTTCCTGTGTTTGCTGATCTATGAGGACGCCACGCTTAATTATTGCTAAAAGAACATCTTTTCTGCCATATGTTACTGCAAAATGCAAAGCTGTGAGCCAACCATTAGTTACTGTTCGCAGTTTAAGTCTCCCGTCTTCTAATAGACGTTTGCTTACATTATCTTTCCTGAAAAATATTGCATAGTGAATTGGAGCCCATTTGTTATCATTAGTACCTTCGTTTATTTCTATCCCTTCTAGGGCGAGAAGATAATTCACCATATCTAAATGCCCCATCATTGCTGCATGGTGCAAAGGAGTCATATTATTGTCATCACCAGCATTGATGTTAACTTCTTTACTGTTAATTAAACTTTGTGCTACCTTCATATCGTTGTTTATCACTGCTAAATGGAAAGGCGTCAACTTTGTGTTTGACTGTGCATTAATCGAAGCCTTTCTAGTATTTACTATCATATTTACTACCTGTTCACCGCCCACAACGGCATTATGCAATGGAGTGAATCCAGACATATCTTTGACATTCAAGTCAACCGTGTTTGTTAACAGAGTTTCCAATGTTTTCACAAAACCATTTCTGGCTGCCAAATGCAAAGGAGTCAAAAGTTGAGGATAGGACTGTATGCCTATGGTAGATCGATGTCTTATTAGCAGATTCATAAACTCTTCCTGTCCAGCTTCTACAGCTACGTGCATAGGAGTAAAACCATTTTTGTCTCGTGCATTTTTCTCAGAATAGGGTTTTCCCAAGAGCAAACTTAAGGCGATTTCAGTATTGCCCCATTTTGCAGCGGCATGAAGAGCCCGTCTGCCGTTTTCAAACATCGCATTTGTATCAGCTCCTTCTCGTAACAAAATCGTTGCAGCTCTCATACCTGATTCTTTATCAGGACTATCAACAGCATCGTAGAAATCTCTATTAATATCAGTGAATTCAGTTTCATAGCTTTTAAGTGTCCCAATTAATTTCGGTGTTTCGCCTAAGAATCTTCTAAACACGAGTCTATCGCGCCGTAACTTATCGATTGGTACTTTAAGAGTAGGGCAAGCTCTCTCCTGAACCAAAACTGGATGGGACCATTCTCCAATCTTTGCATATTTATCGTCACTTTTGTACTGGACCGCATAACTAACTCGTTTACCTGCTACCCAATCACCGATCGGGGTTTTAATATTCTTTTTAAACGAGAATTGCACAAAGTTTTGTGGTTCTTCTTCTATTGCGGGTAAGGTCATATTTTGAACTTTTAATTTAATGCTTTCAAATAATCGGATGGAGTCCGTCAATCGTCTAGCTTTTGTAGCCCACACAAAATCTAAGTTATTCACTTCCTGCAGCAACTCTATTACTCTAAGCAGCAATGGTTCCTCTTTTCCTGCTATGCCTCTTCCGATGAGAGACCTTCTGAAATATTTGAAGGTGTTTATCATACCATTTAAGAATCGATTATAGTTATCAACGTCACTAATACGGAGAAAGTAGTTGACCAAATAAGCATATTGTTCGATCAAAAAGAACATAACAGTAACATACGTATGCGAACCATATATTAATGCATCAATAGCTTTAAATGCAGCCTTGTCGTAAGATGTTTTCGGAGTAGCGTATCGCAGCTTTATGATATTTAGCAAGAAGGAAAGCAATCCATCTGGTGTTCTATAGTCTGATAAATATTTTAAAAAGTTATCATCTCCATCTGCCAACCTATTGACATAATCATTGTTATTTAAGCCTTTTATTCTCTCGGATTCAGTATAGAAATATTGAACGAAATTATTAATTTTCGATATTATCGGATCTACCTGGGTGATCTCGATCGTTTCTATGACCTCATCGAATCGCGCATGCATTTCGAGTCTAGTTTGTTCAACGGAAATTAAAGTTTTATTTGCTAACGTCCTAATCTCCCTCAAAGCTGCTGTCTGTTCATCCAGCCTCCTATCAATTTCGTTGAATCTTCTATTCATGATCTCTTTTATTTCATCGAATGGCACATCGCCACAGTCCACTGCTGTTTGAGCTATGTCTAATCCCCCGGAAAATAAATGAGAGACCACTGAAATACCTGCAGTAAAGACTCCCAGGAACTCGCCAACAATAGGAATCGAATTCAGATCATTCACAATATCGCTTGCCGTTGAAGAAACTTTCGATCCTATCTCCATTGCTTTACATTGCTCAACCTTGGACGTTTCACGCTTTATCCTGCTTGAAACACTTAATTCATCCATTTGATATCTTGAATACTTTGCGGAGGCCATTTTGCGAGATTTTGTATTCTAGTAAACGACTGTGAGTTAACTTTTAAAACTTCAATTTTGTATCGCAGAGAAAGAGAGACGTGGAAAAAATGATTTAATTTCCTTATTTATATAACTTCGAAATCAATTATTACTTCCCCTTAGCTGCACCTGCAAGAACAGATACTCTCATTAATAGGAAGAAAAAAATTATTTGTCCTGTCAGGGATATTTAGCTTATATGGCATATGTTGATGGAAAAACTATTAACTTTGCAATGTTCCATGACATATGATGGAGTTGAGATGATATTATTTGGAAATGGAAAGCCAATAAAAGATGATATCCACGTGCACAGCTGTAACTTTGTTATGAATATTTTAGTTCCGAAAGAATTTTGCGAACAACAATGTTATTAAGTATAGCATTTAATATTTTGTTTCAATAAAAATCTTATATTCAGTCATTACTCTGCAGAACAATATTTTGCTGCATCGGAATTTTTAACGGATTCTAGGTATCGTCACTTCGCAAGGTTGCCACTGGCGACTAAGCAAGCAAAAAACTATGATTACTTCAATTCAATTAAAAGAGGTTAAAATTAGCACTGTTTCTATCAAGTTTTGTTTAATGGCATTTATTAAAGCATTTTTTTTAAATATGTCTTAGTGGTAGTTATGTTTGAATAATAAAAGGATTTATGAAAAAATAAAATTTAATTCAGTTTCTACCACTTTTTTGTCACTTGTGGCATCCCTGGCTTCTCTGATTTCAATGCTGCAACCTTTTTCCATACTTGCCAACATTCACTCTTTTCGAGAATGGATTTTCCAAGTGGTAGTAAAACAATTAACAGAAAACTATATCACTCAAAAATATATTTATACTTTAATCAGGTTAAAATTCGCTATCCTAAGGTAGAATGGTAGAAATCATATAAATCTCGGTGCGCTGCCGCGAAGCGGCATTAATCGATTCATCTGTAGTAATAAATCGATGATGAAGAGTAGTGAGGTGGAATGGAGATGGGGGGAAGAGGGGGTGCTTAGCACCAAAAAATTGAGAGTGTATTTCGTGTGCTAGGGCAACATCATATCCCTAAGGAAAAAGGCAGTGATTGGGCTAAATTTAGTGTTGTCGTCAATTAATTCAATATCTAGGAGTGAATTAAAATTGCTGGCGGTACAGGTTTTTGCTTCATCGTAGAAATTTTTTATATAGACGTTGATGTCATCAATTTTAAGATCCCTTTTTATACTATTATTGCTAATGCGTTTAGGGGCGCCGACGAGTCTTCTTATAATTTTTCTTTCTGCCATAGAGAGTTTGCTATCATCATCATCATCATCAACATTTATCTGGGCACCTGGGGCTGTTAGCGGCCTTTTTCCCATCCGTCTTGAATTTTGATCTTTGGGGTGGTTCTTTCTGGTAATTGGAATGCAATTGAAGTAAAAGGAAATTAAAGTTTGCTCTCATAAGGAATACTATGCTTTTGTATATTTGTTGTAATTATTTATATGTAGTGGTGGTCAAACTGATTTAAAATTATTATTATAATTCAAAAAATTTAGTAAAATAACATGAATTTCGCAAGCACTTTAAATATGAAAATAAAATCTTCTAGGAGAACCGGAAGAGTTGGCAGCTATGGGTTTCTTTGTACAAGCAACAGCTTACCTGCCAACTTGAGCAGTCATTGAAAAAAAATTTTCGAAGTTGAAGTAAAACAACAATTAAGTTTGAAAGAATTCTTTTTAAAAAAACAAATCTATTAAGACATGTGAAAGCATATTAAGCAATAAATAGACCTTATCTAAATATTTTTTAAAATTATTGATTCGTCGTGATAGTTTAAAAAAATATTCTTGAAACTCTAAAAACTTTCAGGTCTCATTGCGCCAAAAGGCTATTGTTTGCTAATTTTAATCTAGTATTGCTATCACTAAAACAATTTTTCAACGGCTGTACAAATTGGCAGCTAAGCGACAATTCGTAAACAATTTCGACCTACGGATACCAAGCTACTGAAAGTGGTTTAAATGTAAATCATGATGCATACATAAAAAAAAGCGGATCTACGTAATTGTGTTTTTTTCAGAGGAGACATTTTTTTGTTACCTACCAGTTTAGCTTTAATAAGAGCACTATGCATTAACTTCAGATAAAATATTAGTATTTATATTATTGTATACAAAACTGTTTTGTTTATACGAATTAAATTTTAATAACGAAGCACTTGTTCTACCACTTTTTCTCTTTTTGCAAATAGATACCGTCTTTTTATTATATGTTATATATATATATATATATATATATATTTAGGTTGTCANATATATATTCTCCCACCAAGCCATCATCAACTTTTTGATAAAGACATTATTCCAGGCACCTACGGGCACTACTACAGATGAAGAAGTGAAGTGTCCGCTTCGCGGACAGGGACTTCGTACATAAACTCAGCCTAAAGCCTAATATATATATACACACACGTTATTTTTAAGCTTATACATTCAGACAAAAAAGAAACTAAACTAAAATTATTATTTTGAATAAAACCTGCACTTTTCGAACAAAACTAATTTTAGGTTTGAAATACTCAAACCCAAATTAGGTATGAACAGTTATTTCTATAAATGCAACAAAAAATTTGCTCTCTAGCATTATTTATCGATATAATTTTTTGTAACAATATGAAAATGAGGGTTATAAAAATGATAGAGTAGGTACTAAATATCAGGGTTCGTACAGTACGTAATTAATTTTAAAATGTTAACAAAATTAAGAGGATTGGTATATTTGTAATTATCACAAATTTTCAATAACTTTTAGGGGATAAACTAAGGTCCAAAACTTACAGGTTTTTATTCGAAAGAATAATCGAATGATATTTCATACCTGCCAACTTTTAATCCCTTCCATTATCATTTTTCCCAGTGGTATTAAAACTTCAATTTGAAGCAAACAAATACGTTGTATTTGAGAAAACTTAAGTTAACAACCATGATAGTAACGTATATTAATATATGTGCTTAATTTTTGTAAGAATAGTGGTGATCAGAATCATCTCAAAATTAAGTTTATAAAAGGAAAAATAGTATATATTTACTACCACTTTAAATATGAAAATAAAATCTTCCGGAAAATCTGGAAGAGTTGGCAGGTTTGATATTTATTTGGCTACTCGCATGCAAGAATTTAGAGGCTCTAGTTTTTATTTTTCGAACACCATGAAAATGATGACAAAATTCTCTCACATCTAGAAAAAATTAAGTGGTAGTTATATTAATATATTTTTATTATTATTGCGTTATTGATTGATAGGTTATTTTATTTTCTCTAAGTAAATATATAAAGATCCGAAGGCAGTAGACATGAAACTTCTTTTTAACAAAATTGATACCATTATTAATTTTTTTCCTGGTGCCATGTGTGGACGTACCCAGATAGATTAGTTTTATTATTATTTTTGACCTTGTCAATAGATTTGTGCCTAGCGTCCTTTTAGAAGCGATAGTTTTTATATTAAAAATTTAAAAAGTGGTAGCAAAGTGATAAAATTTTAGAGCTTAATTTTGTACAAACAAATGCAAGATTGCCAAATGCAATCTGGAAAAGTTTAAGAACTGGTGGAAAAGACAGAGAAAAATTCTCTTTAACTAAATCCCAAGCACAAAAATTTGTTTGTAAATTCAATATTTGGAAATTCAATATAAATTATTATCGAACTGACCAACAGACTTTTTGAAAATATACTGCAACAAAAAATTTTTATATTTTAAACAGCTTCATTATATTTATCATCACTCTTTAGATTTTACCAGTCTGTAGCACTTCTAATATGGTGATCATAGCTTTTCTATTAAAAAAAAAAAAAAAGAAGTGGTAAAAGAAATTATAATTTTTCATCAATATTATGCGTGAAATAAATATTTTGGCTACCAGTACATGTTAATAATTCACGTCTTCACATTCAGTTTTCAAACTGAGAAATGCAGGGGTGAAAGCGAGATAAAAAGAGGAAAGGCTGGTAGTAAAACTATTTCCGTTATAACAAGTTTTCGGGAGGAGTTAACTTTTTCTTTTTAAAACTATTCAACAATATCTACATTATCCATGGAAAATCGACAGTTTTATATATATGTTACGGTGAAACACCGAAATCTGGAGAATGTCGACATTCACCGGTGAATGTCAACATTCACGTTGTCACTTGGTGCATGTCCGAAATATTTGCTAAATACCCTTATTTCTGACTCTCACCGGTGCAATCACATAGTCGCTTTGGTGAATGTCCGAAATATTTGTTATATCATCCAATTTTCTATTAATTTATTCGTTAATATTATTATATTTATTAGATATATTTATATTTATTCTATATTTTAATACTTACTGACGATAGATTAGAAGAAACATCAGTGTTCGGAGTATCGGGCAAATATATACCGGGCAATGGCTCTTGACCTTAAAAAAACATCAGTGTAGGGTATACCGGGCAAATGTATACCGGGCAGTGGCACTTAACCTTAAAAAAACATCAGTGTAGGGTATACCGGGCAAATGTATACCGGGCAGTGGCACTTAACCTTAAAAAAACATCAGTGTAGGGTTAAAATATCGAATAAATGTAATTATATCCACGAATAAATTCATATCAAATCGAATGTAATAAATATTTCGGACATTCACCAAAGCATATCTGTGATTGTCGACATACACCGGTGAGGGTCCGAATGTACAAGAATGTAATGAAATATTCGATCTTTCACCGACGTATTTGGTGTTTGTCGACATTCACCGGTGAAAGTCAACAACCACCGATTTTGGTCTTTCGCCGTGAAATATATACTAAAATTATAAAAGAAATCTTGATAGTTACAGAAATTTTATTTTTCTCGAAAAAAATGCTAAAATGAAATGTCTTTCGTACCTGTTTTTGCACTTTTCCGTCTTGCTATACAAAGGTTTTCAGCCATGTTTAACAGACTTTGTAACTCCCTTGAACCTGGGGAAAGGACCAATGGTGATCTTTGGGATCGGGAGTTGTATATATCCCCACTATATCTTAGGATTTTTCACTATTAGTTTAAACTGATTTTGTGAC